TTACTCTACTACACCTGCTAGTAAATTATTTGCCATGTAGAAATATCATTTCTACCAAAAACAGTGATCCGGTTAGTGATGTCTGATTGCTATTATTTTGAACACAACTGTAATGTTACAATTAGTGTTCTTATTATTTTAAATGCATTATTTTTATTTACCACTTTAATAAAAGACAGAGGCAAAAATCTTAACTGTTAGGTAGTCACACATTTTTATTATTTTAACTAATCAGAATGCATACAAACATAGACAAACTTAAATCGTGTCTCTTTGCCAACTTACTTCACTAGCAGGGCTCAAAAAATAATCAGCAAATTGATCCCTTATTGTCAAATCCACTCTTGGACCACGGACATGAGGCCAATCGACAGGTGTGTTTTAAGTTGTGGGATAATGCGACCTCAAAATTTACTCCATCTTTTTCTCTGGTCAAATTATGAAGGACACATGCTGCCTTCACAACTTTACAGGAATTCACAACCTTTAAATTAATTGGATTATGGAAAATTTGCCATTTGTTGGCAAAAATGCCAAATGCATATTCCACCAGTCTTCCTGCCTGGCAGAGACGATAATTAAATATTCTCTTTTGGGGATTGAGATTCCTCTGGGAGTATGGCTTCATCAAATGTTCTCCAATAGCAAAAGCCTTGTTGGCAACAAATACAAATGGCATATCAGGACTATCTGTATCAGGTAATGGTGCGTTGTCAGAAAAATCAAGTTGATTCTGAGCTAGACGCTTTCCAAATTTAGAATGCTGGAAGAATGATGGAAGACAGTGGAGTGTGCATAGCTACCAAATGTTCCAATGTCAACAAAAACAAGCTAATAGTCTGCATCTGCAACAGCCATCAGCATTATTGAAAAAATGTCTTATAGTTAAAATAACAGCTTCCACTGTCATAGAGTTTTACTAATTTAATATGTTTGCCATCAATTGCTTCCAGGAAGTTCGGAAAGTTGGTTTTCTTCCATAATAACAGCACCATTTCTTCCCATTGTTGTTTTTTGTTGGAATTGACATGAAAGATTAATTTAATTCATTCCATATATCATCACAGGTTTTCTTCACTATGTCACTGATTGTAGATATTCCAGTTAGAAATTCATAATGAAGGGATGTGTATCTTTTCTGTAGCCAGATATCTATAAAAAAAATAAAAATTTTATCATTACTGTTAAAGCTCTGAAAATCAGATGAAAAACAATGCGGGACAATGTTCGAAGATAATTAAAAAAGCAGAACATTGTCAGAAGTGGTTCAAGCAGAAGAGCATCAAAGAGAATTTACTGCCATTACCAGGAACTATTTTTTCTGAAGCCTGAACTGAGAGAGTAAGTTAACTTAACACTACATATATAGATCTCAAGGAATATAGGTTTTTGAGAGTTTGGTTTTTTTTTATTTTTAAAGGACCGAAAGCAACCTGGACCCAGAAAGTGATGAAGAACTTGATGATACTGAAATTCCTGAGGAGTCCCAACTACTTTTTGAAGATGAGGATAGGACACGTCAGTCCCACCCCCAGAGCCAGAGTCAACAACTCAACAAAAGAAAATCTAAAAATAAAAATAGTGATCAGCAATTTGTTGATGTGGTTAAAAATCTGATAGAGATCCAGGAAAGGTACCTGGGTGCAAACTGTTTATTTGGCAAATATCTGATATCACAAATGGATCACATTGATCCTACTCTTGTGTGTGAAATGCAGGTGGAGGTCATGCGTGTAGTCATGTTTTTCCAAAAAAAGTCACAAGCCCAATCAGTTAATGATGTAAATAACTCTTCACAATACTTACAAAATAGATTTTGCCATGACATTAACCCTTACCAATTGCTGACACAAGGCAACACATTTCAAGTTCAAAATATGCCTTAGCCTGCTGCTGGATCAAGCTATGGCCCAGGACTTGCTTGTATGTACAATAAATCTAGGAATATGCCCCTTAATAGGGAGGATCAAAATGTTCTGGATGATCTTCAGTCCTTATTGGAGGAGAATGACCCCTGAGATCTGATTGATCATACTAATATTACCCAACTTCTCCAACAAATTGATTCAGATGAGCAACAATCTTCTACATATCCATCCACATTAAAGAAAAAAATCGGACCTGTTCCCTCCTCCAAGCTCCAATTATCATGTAGAAGCCTTTTTGAAATTGGTGTGTGGGGAAATTGAAAAATTAAAAATCAATCAGAAAGGAAAAACTATTTAAACTCCAGTGAAAAACAGGCCTTGAAATGTTTAGCGGCCAATACTTATCTTGTCATTAAACCTTCTGACAAAGGAGGCAACATTGTCATAATGAACAATGACCAATATGTCAATATGTGTAATAAGATTCTTTCCAATAGAGATTGGTATCGCCTAATCACATCAGATGTGATTGACAAATTCAATAATCAATTTTATGAGTTGGTTGATAGTGCATTTCTGAATAGCATTATTACCAAAATTACTTGGGATTTTATTGAATCTAGTTTCCCAAGGATTTCAAATTTTTAATTTCTTCCAAAAAGTCACAAGAAAGTAGATAATCCCCCAGTGAAACCAATAATATCTGGCAATGGAGCCTTAACTCAAAATCTAAGCCAATTGGTCAATGAACATTTCAGAACCTCATGTAGCAAGTCTTCCTTCATATGTAAAGGGTACTATACATCTATTGAAAATTATTGACAATGTACATATACCCAAAGGGGCTCTTCTTGTCACGATAGATGTAGAAGCATTAAATGCCTCCATTCCCCATGACAGGGGAGTAGCAGCAATTCAACACATCCTACCACAGAGAAAGCACCAAGAGTGGGCCCACAATGAATTTATTGTTTCAGCATTAGAATTAATTCTTCAGCATAATGTATTTATGTTCAATGAATACCACTACTTCCAGGTGCAGGGGGTAGTAATGGGGACCTCTTGTGCCCCATCATACGCGAACCTGTACCTGGGGAGTGGGAACAGATGTTTTTGGCCATCGAGGATCTATTGGTGTGTACGGACCACATTTGTATGTGGAGCCGATACATCGATGATATCCTCATGGTGTGGGATGGCCCGGAGGACTTGCTAAGTGGTTGTCTGGAGAGAATGAGCACAAATTAATTTAATCTCACATTTACTATGACTTATGACAAAAAGGAAGTTACTTTTTCCTGGAATTCAGTATTCAAGTAAAAGTTGATGGTAGTCTGGCCAGTAGACTATACCATAAACCTGCGGCTGGTATACTGTATTGCATGTTTCTAGTTTTCTTCTAAGGCACTGATCTCATCCATTCCCTATAGTCAGTATTTGTGAACAAGGAGGAATTGCTCTGATGAGCAAGCCTTCAAGGAGGAGGCAGAGGCACTCTGTAACAGACTGTCGGAGAGAGGATACACCAAGTCTTGCTTAAAGAAAGCTTATAAACATGCCTGTAGTAATCTGAGAAATGATCTTCTCTATAAAGATCCTAAAAAAAAAAGCACTAGATGGTCAGACCAGGATTATCATGAAATTCTCTATCAACACAACCAAATTAGAACTATCCTCCAAAAATATTGACATTTATTAACTTTAGATCCTCTGATAGGTAAATTCGTTCCTCCCACCCCTTTTATCACTTTTAGAAAGGCCACGTCTATAAAAGATTGCATTATACAAAGTGAATACAAGGGTGACAATCTTGGAGATCAGTGCAGACTCAAAGGTACTTTCTGTTGTGGTGCTTGTCATTATTGCAGATATATGTACAGTGGGGCAAAAAAGTATTTAGTCAGCCACCAATTGTGCAAGTTCTCCCTCTTAAAAAGATGAGAGAGGCCTGTAATTGGCATTATAGGTAGACCTCAACTATGAGATACAAAATGAGAAAAAAATCCAGACAATCACATTGGCTTATTTGGAAAGAATTGATTTGCAAATTATGGTGGAAAATAAGTATTTGGTCAATATCAAAAGTTCATCTCAATATTTTGTTATATATCCTTTGTTGGCAATGACAGAGGTTGTCAGGGCTCCCGGGTATGACCAGAGGTGTGTGACTGACGCAGGGAAACGCAGACTTCAGATATGTTATAAACAATATAATTTATTAACACTAACAATACAAACATAAACGCAGTGCAATACTAAAACATAACACAGTGCAAACAAACCAAACCGACCACCCACAGATAACAGTACATACAATGCAAGCGTCGTCAGGCAGGCCGGGTCAATATCAATCGGGCAAGTAGGTACAGGGGGAGCAAGCGGAGAATGGTCGGGGTCACAAGCCAGGTTCAGCAGGTAGCGGGCAGCGTGGTACAGAGGGTCAGGCAGAGGGATGGTCAGGAACGAGCCGGGGTCAGAGCAGGAGAAGTCAGCAGAGGTCCAGATCAGGCAGGGACAGCAACAAGACAGGAACAGGGTGCAGGAACAGGATACAGGGCCCAGGAAAAACACACACCAAGACAGAGTCTGCAGGTCTGGCATCCCTTAAATACACCAGTATAAGCAGTTTCAGGTGTTTGGCTGGCTGCAAGGTTGAGTCTCTGATTGCTGGGAGCACCCGCTGGCCAGCCCTGGTACTGCAGCCCATAAGGCAGGTGAGTCCCACCATTGCTGGCCAGTCCATTCCTGACAGTACCCCCCCCCCCCCCTCAAGGAGCGGCCTCAGGACGCTCCAAACAGTCCTAGCTGGGCAAAATGTTCCACCGCCCGGGTCTGGTAACTGGCGGGATATCAAAGACTGGCACACCGGGCAGGACTCTGGGCAGCGGCACACCGGGCAGGACTCCGGGCAGAGGCACATCGGGCAGAGGCACACCGGGCAGAGGCACATCGGGCTGGACTCCGGGCAGAGGCACATCGGGCTGGACTCCGGGCTGAGGCACATCGGGCTGGACTCCGGGCAGAGGCACATCGGGTTGGACTCCGGGCAGAGGTACATCGGGCTGGACTCCGGGCAGAGGCACATCGGATCACCAGGCGAAGCAGCAGGCAGCGGGCCCCCAGGCGGAGCAGCAGGCACCGGGCCCCCAGGTGGAGCAGCAGGCACCGGGCCCCCAGGCGGAGCAGCAGGAACCGGGCCCCAGGCGGAGCAGCAGGCATCGGGCCCCCAGGTGGGGCGATGGGCATCGGGCCCCCAGGCGGGGCGACGGGCATCGGGCCCCCAGGTGGGGCGGCGGGCCCCCAGGCGGAGCAGCAGGCATCGGGCCCCCAGGTGGGGTGACGGGCATCGGGCCCCCAGGCGGGGTGACGGGCATCGGGCCCATAGGCGGGGCAACAGGCATTGGGCCCCCAGGCGGGGCGACAGGCATCGGGCCCCCAGGCGGGGCAACAGGCATCGGACCCCCAGGCGGAGCGACAGGTCTCGGGCCCCCAGGCGGGCGCCGGACCCCCAGGCGGAGCGACAGGTCTCAGGCCTCCAGGCGGAGCGGCGGGCGCCAGACCCCCAGGCGGAGCGACAGGTCTCGGGCCCCCAGGCGGAGCGGCGGGCGCCGGACCCCCAGGTGGAGCGACAGGCACCGAGTCACCAGGCACGACAGTGGGCTCCGAGTCAACTGGCATGACCGCTGGCACTGGGTCAGACAATGGATCGTCTGGCTGGACAGCGGGCATCGGGTCACCAGGCATCAGGTCATTTGGCTCGACAGCGGGCTCCACGTCATCTGGCAAGGCAGTGGGCACCAAGTCACCAGGCACGACAGTGGGCTCTGAGTCAATTGGCACGAAAGCGGGCACCGGGTCATCAGGTACCGGATTGTCTGGCTCGACAGCGGGCATCGGGTCACCAGGTATGACAGCGGGCACTGGGTCACCAGGCATCAGGTCATTTGGCTCGCCAGCGGGCACCGCGTCATCTGGCAAGGCAGTGGGCACCGAGTCACCAGGCACGACAGCGGGCTCTGAGTCAATTGGCACGACAGCGGGCACCGGATCAGGTACCGGATCGTCTGGATCAACAGCGGGCATCGAGTCAACTGGCCTAATAGGATCATCAGGCTGGATCAGTTCATCATGCTGGGTAGAGGCATCAGGCTGAATGGAGGCATCAGGCTGAGTAGAGGCATCAGGCAGAGTAGAGGCTTCAGGCTGAGTGGAGGCTTCAGGCTGAGTAGAGGCATCAGGCTGAGTAGAGGCATCAGGCTGAGTAGAGGCATCAGGCTGGGTACAGGCATCAGGCTGGGTACAGGCATCAGGCTGGGTACAGACCTCAGGCTGAAGTGCGGGTGCCGAGGCACCAGGCTGAACCACGGAAGGCAGGTTCTCAGACGGCAGACTCACCGGTTTGGATACTGGCAGGATGGTATTGGTTGGAAAGAACGAGCCGGGGTCAGAGCAGGAGAAGTCAGCAGAGGTCCAGATCAGGCAGGGTCAGCAACAAGACAGGAACAGGGTGCAGGAACAGGATACAGGGCCCAGGAAAAACACACACCAAGACAGAGTCTGCAGGTCTGGCCATCCCTTAAATACACCAGTATAAGCAGTTTCAGGTGTTTGGCTGGCTGCAAGGTTGAGTCTCTGATTGCTGGGAGCACCCGCTGGCCAGCCCTGGTACTGCAGCCCATAAGGCAGGTGAGTCCCACCATTGCTGGCCAGTCCATTTCCTGACAGTACCCCCCCCCCCTCAAGGAGCGGCCTCAGGACGCTCCAAACAGTCCTAGCTGGGCAAAATGTTCCACCGCCCGGGTCTGGTAACTGGCGGGATATCAAAGACTGGCACACCGGGCAGGACTCTGGGCACACCGGGCACACCGGCAGGACTCCGGGCAGAGGCACACCGGGCAGAGGCACACCGGGCAGGCACATCGGGCTGGACTCCGGGCAGAGGCACATCGGGCTGGACTCCGGGCTGAGGCACATCGGGCTGGACTCCGGGCAGAGGCACATCGGGTTGGACTCCGGGCAGAGGCACATCGGGCTGGACTCCGGGCAGAGGCACATCGGATCACCAGGCGAAGCAGCAGGCAGCGGGCCCCCAGGCGGAGCAGCAGGCACCGGGCCCCCAGGTGGGAGCAGCAGGCACCGGGCCCCCAGGCGGAGCAGCAGGAACCGGGCCCCCAGGCGGAGCAGCAGGCTCCGGGCCCCCAGGCAGGAGCAGCAGGCATCGGGCCCCCAGGTGGGGCGATGGGCATCGGGCCCCCAGGCGGGGCGACGGGCATCGGGCCCCCAGGTGGGGCGCGGGCCCCCAGGCGGAGCAGCAGGCATCGGGCCCCCAGGTGGGGTGACGGGCATCGGGCCCCCAGGCGGGGTGACGGGCATCGGGCCCATAGGCGGGGCGACAGGCATTGGGCCCCCAGGCGGGGCGACAGGCATCGGGCCCCCAGGCGGGGCAACAGGCATCGGACCCCCAGGCGGAGCGACAGGTGTCGGGCCCCCAGGCGGGCGCCGGACCCCCAGGCGGAGCGACAGGTCTCAGGCCTCCAGGCGGAGCGGCGGGCGCCAGACCCCCAGGCGGAGCGACAGGTCTCGGGCCCCCAGGCGGAGCGGCGGGCGCCGGACCCCCAGGTGGAGCGACAGGCACCGAGTCACCAGGCACGACAGTGGGCTCCGAGTCAACTGGCATGACCGCTGGCACTGGGTCAGACAATGGATCGTCTGGCTGGACAGCGGGCATCGGGTCACCAGGCATCAGGTCATTTGGCTCGACAGCGGGCTCCACGTCATCTGGCAAGGCAGTGGGCACCAAGTCACCAGGCACGACAGTGGGCTCTGAGTCAATTGGCACGAAAGCGGGCACCGGGTCATCAGGTACCGGATTGTCTGGCTCGACAGCGGGCATCGGGTCACCAGGTATGACAGCGGGCACTGGGTCACCAGGCATCAGGTCATTTGGCTCGCCAGCGGGCACCGCGTCATCTGGCAAGGCAGTGGGCACCGAGTCACCAGGCACGACAGCGGGCTCTGAGTCAATTGGCACGACAGCGGGCACCGGATCAGGTACCGGATCGTCTGGATCAACAGCGGGCATCGAGTCAACTGGCCTAATAGGATCATCAGGCTGGATCAGTTCATCATGCTGGGTAGAGGCATCAGGCTGAATGGAGGCATCAGGCTGAGTAGAGGCATCAGGCAGAGTAGAGGCTTCAGGCTGAGTGGAGGCTTCAGGCTGAGTGGAGGCTTCAGGCTGAGTAGAGGCATCAGGCTGAGTAGAGGCATCAGGCTGGGTACAGGCATCAGGCTGGGTACAGGCATCAGGCTGGGTACAGGCATCAGGCTGGGTACAGACCTCAGGCTGAAGTGCGGGTGCCGAGGCACCAGGCTGAACCACGGAAGGCAGGTTCTCAGACGGCAGACTCACCGGTTTGGATACTGGCAGGATGGTATTGGTTGGAAAGAATTTTCGCTTTTTTCTGGTTTTAACTACTGGAGCACTGCAAGTAAACGCAGGTCTGCAAACGAATGGAGCAGCTGGAGACAGAGAAGAGCTGGAGGATGGAACAGGGGAGGGAACAGTTGCTACAGAGGGCTTTTTTACAGGGTTAAAGGCAGGATAGGTGCAGCAAGTGGGAACAGGGTACTGACATGCGGTAGATAGCAGGGCAGGAGGAGCGGTTGGGAATGCAGGAATAGAGCTTTGAGGAAATAGATTAGAAGCAGGACTGGGTTTTTGTAAGCTGACTGAGGCTGCTGGGTGCAACAAATCTGTCCATGTCTGCAGTATGGGTTGAACAAAGCTCAGCTTACACAAAGCCTGTCTGACCAAAGACTACACTACGTTTATACAATCCCTTAGTATCTGTGGTGAACATGCAGAATAACGCTCCAGAAAGTAATCCACATCATCCTCTAATAACCATACCAGGGACTCTACCTGGTCGGCACTAAATGGCGGCAAAAATTCATCCCTGCATTCGGGGGTACCAGATGAAACCAATTCAGCACAAACCTGAATCAATGGTTGCACCTCAGAGAACTCTGTGCCCTGATCTACTAGAACATGAGCGAGCCGTATACATTCTAGCAGTTCATCCCGGGGATACTCCTTCAGAGTCTGATAAGCATACTCTCTGTCATCAAACACTAGCAGATATAAATACACAACCTCATCAAGATCCATCCTTCCCATCAACAAACCAAGATGGCTTCCCTGTGCAGCCACTTCTGGTCAGGATTGGCCTTGGTGTAATGTCAGGGCTCCCGGGTATGACCAGAGGTCTGTGACTGACGCAGGGAAACGCAGACTTCAGATATGTTATAAATATAATTTATTAACACTAACAATACAAACATAAACGCAGTGCAATACTAAAACATAACACAGTGCAAACAAACCAAACCAACCACACCACAGATAACAGTACATACAATGGAAGCGTCGTCAGGCAGGCCGGGTCAATATCAATTGGGCAGGTAGGTACAGGGGGAGCAAGCGGAGAATGGTCGGGGTCACAAGCCAGGTTCAGCAGGTAGCGGGCAGCGTGGTACAGAGGGTCAGGCAGAGGGATGGTCAGGAACGAGCCGGGGTCAGAGCAGGAGAAGTCAGCAGAGGTCCAGATCAGGCAGGGTCAGCAACAAGACAGGAACAGGAACAGGGTGCAGGAACAGGATACAGGGCCCAGGAAAAACACACACCAAGACAGAGTCTGCAGGTCTGGCCATCCCTTAAATACACCAGTATAAGCAGTTTCAGGTGTTTGGCTGGCTGCAAGGTTGAGTCTCTGATTGCTGGGAGCACCCGCTGGCCAGCCCTGGTACTGCAGCCCATAAGGCAGGTGAGTCCCACCATTGCTGGCCAGTCCATTCCTGACAGAGGTCAAACGTTTCCTGTAAGTCTTCACAAGGTTGGCACACACTGTTGCTGGTATGTTGGCCCATTCCTCCATGCAGATCTCCTCTAGAGCAGTGATGTTTTGGGGCTGTCGCTGGGCAACACGGACTTTCAACTCCCTCCAAAGGTTTTCTATGGGGTTGAGATCTGGAGACTGGCTAGGCCACTCCGGGACCTTGAAATGCTTCTTACGAAGCCACTCCTTTGTTGCCCGGGCGGTATGTTTGGGATCATTGTCATGTTGGAAGACCCAGCCACGTTTCATCTTCAATGCCCTGGCTGATGGAAGGAGGTTTGCACTCAAAATCTCACGATACATGGCCCCATTTATTCTGTCCTGTACATGGATCAGTCGTCCTGGTCCTTTGTGGAGAAACAGCCCCAAAGCATGATGTTGCCACCCCCATGTTTCACAGTAGTTATGGTGTTCTTTGGATGCAACTCAGCATTCTCTCTCCTCCAAACACGAGTTGTGTTTCTACCAAACAGTTCTATTTTGGTCTCTTCTGGATCATCCAAATGCTCTCTAGCAAACTTCAGACGGGCCCGGACATGTACTGGCTTAAGTCCTTGGTGGCGTAGTGTGTTACTGATGGTAGCCTTTGTTACGTTGGTCCCAGCTCTCTGCAGGTCATTCACTAGGTCCCCCTGTGTGGTTCTGGGATTTTTGCTCACCGTTCTTGTGATCATATTGACCCCACGGGGTGAGATCTTGCGTGGAGCCCCAGATCGAGGGAAATTATCAGTGGTCTTGTATGTCTTCCATTTTCTAATTATTGCTCCCACAGTTGATTTGTTCACACCAAGCTGCTTGCCTATTGCAGATTCAGTCTTCCCAGCCTGGTGCAGGTCTACAATTTTGTTTCTGGTGTCTGTCGAC